GCAGCCCTGCCCTCTAAGAAGTCAAACTATGTGCAGCACTTGGAAAACTACCTTGTGAAATCATTAAGGGTCACAACAGAAATGTTTTTGCATTTAGAAACAGCAGACCTCCAAAAAAGTATATTGATCAACTTCATAATAAAACATACACTGTTTTATGTACCTGGTAAAATATAAGAAAGTAAAAATATTGAGTGAAAGTGAGTGAAATATACATCATTACTGTTACCTAGAAATACAAGTAAAAATTGTAGTATTTGCCACACAGCTAAAAAAAAACAAAAAAAAACAACAAAAATAAAGTATATGTTAGAAAACATGCACAAACCCAATTGGCAATATTTAACCCACATTTTGATCTTTTTAGTGCTTGTTTAGTGTCTCGCTAAGAGCATTTCCTCATTTTGTGTCAGTCCCTGTCCTCTGCAGCCAAACTGTACTGTCATAAAACTGCACTGAATACAAGCTGCTCATTAGAGATGCTTGAGCCACTGGGCCGCTGCAGTGTAAACGGAGTCAGCTTGAAAACACAAGCTCGCAGCCTCCTTGATAGGGCTCTGGGCTGCACTGCCAGACTGTTGTGATGTGCTATCCATGAGAGAACGGCCAGGCAGTCATTATTTTCCCCACAATTACCTGAAGTCCTTGATAACGAGCAAAGAAAAAAAGCGCCATATAATTAGAAAAACACCAGCAGCACCATTATTGTCAGGAGAACATAACAGTATAATGAAGCAATTATAAATGAGCCGCTTTGTGCTTGTCATTAATTTCTTGCTTTTAAGGATGTGGAGACGGAGCACAGCTAAACGTTGAGAGTGGAGGTTTTGGGTGGGACAAAGCGCCATGGGATAGAAAAGGGAGCGGAAAATCCCACCAATGATGAGTCCAAGCACCAGGTCTTAATGTGCTCCAAAAGTCCACAGGGGGGACACTTTATAATAACCGGGTGTAATGCTGGTGTAAGTTGGTGCGGATTTTGTAAATACGTCTAGGGGCTCACTGTACTCACTGTTTATTCTGTATCGAGCTGAAGATGCTCCGGTGCCAAATGAAAGGTAATGAGGAAGAGTACATGCTGGGCGCGGAGCTTGGCCTTTTCACACATCATCACAAAGATTGATCTCCCCTCTGCCTGGGCTCGTGTGCTGCTTTCTGCTCTCAATTCACAGTTTTTGCGACGCATCACAAGCTCCTTTCAAATGTATACAACCGTACAAAAGATGGACCGAAAATGTTATGATTTTTTTAGGAAAAAGGTCAGTAGGAAAGGCCAAATTGCTTTTCATGAGGATGCAGATCACTGTCAAAAAAAATAAAAAATGTTTTAAGATATCTAACAAAAATATAAATAAATATAGTAGAATTTTGAAAAGCAATAAATCTAATATATAATTTATTTGAATATCCTAATTGAGAAGTGACTGAAGAAAATGTACTCTTTGATACATAGTTTAACGCAAATTGAAATGTCCTTTGAGTTCAAGTGACCGTTTTATCTTTATATTGCAAGCTCAGCCCAGTGCCTTGGCCATGGTCCACACGCTAACACATTAATTGGGTGTATTATGTACATGGATACTTGTGGCTTTGTTTATAGTCTTAGAAACCTGACTTGCCTAGAACTGTACACCGTACTCCAGATGCAGGAATGCAATTAAGTAACGTGTTGCATTTGATTAAAAATTTTCTCCCCAACCGCTGAGTGGATTAGAGGCATGTCTCTTTATTAATGAGGCTTTTTTTCCCTCTTTGATTTCAGCGTGCGTCGAGATGAGCGGAGACAAGCTGAAATCCCAGTTTTCTCCTGATATGTCAGCACCGTGTCCTCAAAGACATCAAACCGCAAAAAGGTGAACGTTTAAGACAAGACAGTGAGTGAGCCGAGTCAGTCAGGGTTGTGTACAGCGCCTGTGCAACTACCAAATGACTGTCCTCCTCACTTTGAAAGGCCATCTTATTAACACATCCTACTGCACACTTCATCATATTGTCTGGAGAAGCCAATTGTATGGAAGGGGGCAATTAGAACAGAGAAGCTGTGAGGTTGCCATTATTTTAGATTTTAATGACCACACAATACGGAGCTAGATGTAGAAATGAGGTCTACAATACTACAATTATGCATAATCTGGCAGTTCTTACCGCGCCCCCCACACTCCTCTTTCCTTTTGCCTTGAATAAATTTACATGGAAATGCATCTCTGCCTAATTTATTCTGAAAAATTAGAATATACATTACAAATATTTCCATAGACAACATCAGCAACATGCGGTTAGGCGTTTAATGACTGATTTCTTTGTACGTGTGCTTAGATGAAAGAGAGCCGTCCCCTGGTAGACTTAAAAAACAACAAATAAATTATTAAACATAGATGTATACTATTTATATTTCATTTCTTCCAGCTTTATTAAAGGAAAAGAGCTTTCTGATTTATAGCATCAGACACGATACAGGCAAAACAAATCAAAAGTGACCAATCTGTTTATGCTATGATGAAAAATATAGCTCCTGCACACTCTTAAATGTCTTAAAAACATTAAAAACAGAACTAGTTCAAACTCACCCATTTTGCATAACCTCCTAGTTATTCACCACAATCAGGCTTGAAGCGTGTTTCACAACTTTTAAAGTTCAGAGAAGTTTCCCGCCACTGCTAACAACAACTACCATGTAAGTCTGTTATTTCCTGATAAAAGCACTTTTAACCCTAAGAACTGGTTTTACAATTTAACTGTACTCGTGCAAATGAGCCAAATAAATACAAAATCGGATTAAAAGTTTCATTGCCAAATTACTTTCTCTAATGTGCAACAGTCAAAAAAGAAGCACAAAAAAAACAGGCCAAAAGATAACCTTTGTCAATAAATGATATATGTCGTTCCTCCCTGTGTCCCATGACCTGCGTATATGTAGTATGTATTCAGCGCGTGTGGCAAGATGCATGTCTCTGGACAGGACCCAAAAGCCAAGATTATTGACATGGATGCTCTCCCATTAATAAGCCTGTGCATCCTTTGTGTTCGGGGTCGCGGCTGCTGCAGTTAACTATAACTTGTCAAGGCTGCTCTAACCGCACAATGCGTACCTCATGCATCTCCTGTCAGCGCGCATAATTCCTAGATGCCGGAGCGCTGCTGATTTCTGCATAAGTGATGCGCGCCTTCTAGTAGAGTTAGGAGCACAAGTCTTTTGCCATTGAGAGATGTTCATCATTCTTGATCTGGCTCTGTCAAGACCTGGTGTTTTAGTGCCTCTCACGATTAGGCAGAATTGACAGGCCAAGAAGGCAGTGAATAGCAGAAACGCGTGGAACTAAGGGGGTGTGGTGTAGGCTGTAGGGTGAAGTGGAGTGTGGCCGCCATTTAATCTGCAATTTATCAGTTTAGGCTGCACCATGTAACATCAAGGAGATTACATTCCAGGCAGAAGGAAGCTCTATCTGTCCTCATCCCCTCCTCCTCCTCCTCCTCCTCATTCCTCCTTTCCTATCTCCTCGCACATGCCTCCTACCTCCTAATGTCATGTGACGGCAGAATATCTCGGACAAAGAGGGAGGACTTTATCGTCGCTATTATTGTTTCTGAGACCCTTAATTAATATATAGCATTGTAAGGTCCTCCTCGGTGAGTAAGCAGTGAAGAGTGTGTGCTGGAAGAGGTTTACTGCATCTTTTATAGTGGCTGTTTATCACAAGTTGGATTTCACTTGAATGCAAACTGGGCATGTGTGTCCATGCTAATACACCCACAGCCGATCATTGATGTCTGAGCGTGACCTCTGACAACACTGATCACGTTTGGCCAATAAACGCTTAATTGCCATTTTTCCGTTGGGCTGCTTTATTGATGTAATATCAAAAGTGATTAATATGAATTGTTAACTAGCTGTTGTATTTAGCACTAAAACGACAAGCTAGTGTTGTACATGTCCATAAAAACAAGCGCGGAACAACCGTAATATGAAAATGTGATATAATTCAAAATAACACTGGCAATAGGTAGGCATTAAAAATAGGTCACTTTTTACTTTGATTTGACTCACACTAAAATGTTGTGTCTTAAATTAATGTTGCTTATAGTATCATAAGGTTAGACACGGCAATAATTTTATTTTACAGGCTATTGCTTGGTTTCAGATGACATCACATCACTCTATAAGCCAATATTATTTAATACAGAAGCGGGTTGGCTAAAACTGATATTGTTCAACTGCAGATTTCTATTGTAATACAGTATGATCTTGGGTCTACTCAATAATCGAAATCATCAGGTTGCATATATTTTAGAATTTACCTTTCCGATACTTCATGACAAAGTACAATGTAATTAACAGGAAAAACTGGCTCTTGCCCTCCATCTGAAAGTATGACATTATCACATTATCACTATTATCTGAGGAAGTGTTGTTATAGCATGTTGAGGTTTACAAACATAAAAGCCGGGACTATCCCAAATATTTGCTCATTCACGGCAATGTTTAAAGGGTCATTAACAGTACACGGTATTTTAACATCCCTTAAGGTTTGTCTGTGGCTCAGGGAGGGCAGAAACAGAAATATAAAGGCGCTGGCTTACAGGAAGGAAACCCGTGGCAGCCTGATATTAAAATGGTTCAGGAGTCAAGTAGAACAAGTCAAGTAGCTCGGGGGCAGAGAGAGGGAGGGAACAGAGGAAACGAACAGGTCATTCTTAAAAGCTAATGGTCTGTCAATGGTTATATTGTAATATATCAGATATGATAAAATATGTTTCCCTCATGTAAAGGCGGCACCATAATTCATGTGATGTCCATTATTTTACATAAAAAATAACAGCGCTTAGTCTCCAAATAAATGAATTTAGAATAATGTTAATGTTCTGCAATCTGTGAGCAGTACTTCTTCTTATCATTTATTTCATTTAGATGATTGTTGCTACCACATGTAGTTCTTCTGTTTCTTGTGTATATGTGTGTGTGAGGTTTGCTATAGATGCTGTAGCATACTAGTAGTACTCACCACAAGTTGCACTGAAGGCACAAAGATGGAGCTGTAAAGAGTCTGCCTGAAAATAGTAAAAGAAAAACATATTGGAAAACTTCAAAAATGCAAAAACGTAGCAGACACATCTTTGCACAACTTCAAATTCTGCCACATGCATACACATTTTGTAGGTACCTACAGTTCTCATATATAAAATCTGGCAGCAGTATTCAGTGTCAAAAAATACTATTTTAACTAAGGCGGCACAATTAATCAAATTTTAATCAAGATCGAGCTTCAGTCATGTTTAATTGTCAATGACATGGTTTGGGGTTTTTCAATCAGGTCAGAGCTCACACTTTGGAGGAAGAAATGTGGCTTTTTTGTTTATGTTCATGAAATGAATACTCTTTGAGCTTTTATTATTTATTTATTTTGTTTAATATTTATTTTTATTTTATTAAAAAATAACACCGAATCAAAAATTGAGAACAATTAAGAAAATTAATAAGATTTTTTTTTGTCATATCGCCAAGCCCAATTTTTTCTGTACATCACTGTTGCTACCACATTTTTTCTAGTGGGTGCTAGTAAGATTTACAGTGTGTAGCAGATGCTGGAGCTTGTTTCTGCCCACTACACAAACTGTAGTTGATATCAAATGCTAGTTTTTTTTTTAAACTAAATTGTAAAATATGTGCCATACATTTAGATTACCCCAAAATTTGACACAATGAACTCATACCCTTATCAAGCATTTGTATGACCCATATATACTATTGCATGACCCAGTGCTCGCCTCTCAGAGCCTCCCACAGACACAGCTTGATCCACTCTGAGCAGAATTGAACCTCACAAGATGAAGACATGACATCTTGGGGCTTACTTGATGTCAGAGATAGGACAGCTCACTTGTTGTAGATCGGGCATGTTGCCAGCCCCTCTACCCGGGTCCAGAGCACTGCGTCTGAACAGGGGCCAATGACACAGACGACATCCAGGGAAGCCCCCCTCTCTCTCTCCTCTTCACCTGTAGCTGAAGGACAGGATCATCAAAGTAGGTCAAACAGGGACACAGACTAGCCCCAGAACTACAGATAGGTAATAATGATTTACAAGTACTTGCTTGAATATCATTTTAAGTTCATCCTCCACATACTTTGACTTTTATGTGGGTAATATTATTTTGAAGTAACAATGCTGAGTTCAATGTTATGTTTTTAGCAACTCAAATTAAATATATACCAGGAAGGGCACTAAATCCAATGCAATAAACTTACAAAAGTGCTATAAGACCAATCGGGCTTAATATCTTGGAGAAAAATTTTTGATTACATTTATTTTTCTCTACATTTATTTTTTTCAACAAAAACAACAAAGTCAATTTTGTCTATCATTTAATTTATAAAGCAGTTTGTGTTAATTATGGAAACACTCCAAATAGCTTTCTTTTTTTACTTGCAGTTTTTGAAAATTATACTTTTACTAGTAACATGGTTGCTTGAGGTTATTTGAGTACAATTTAAGGCTACTCTACCCACCTCTGCTCGTGGCGTGTTCCTCCCATTGCGATGCGAGTGTGCTTTTTCCAGATTTGTCAGAGCAGCAGCCGGAGCACCCTGTGACAGAGATCATCAGCATCAGAGGCAACATCAGCCCAGATCATGTTCACAATGAAGGCCATGCCAGGCACCCACACCACAGCTCTGACCCCACAGACAACAGCTGCCTAGCATGGAAGAACAGGGTGTGGAAACTATGGATGTATGGTGTATCTAAAGCCACATTAGAACCAGAACCATTGAGGAACATTATGTAACTATGTAACTGTTATTTTTTCTGACAAATGCAAATATCAATGTGTGTTAAAATGGAGATTCAACTGGCATTATGTTTTTTAAAAACTACCAGACAGGTGCATTCACTTTTGAGAGAAGAATGAAGAACTATTAAACTAATACAAATCACATGCATTTCATAAAAAGTTAGTAAAGATGTAAACTACAGGGTAAGAAGACTTTATATATAATAAGATATTTTGCATAACAAGATATTATAACATCTTAATAAAAACAGCCTTTGCAATCAAGAATAAGTTCAAAATATGATTTCAAATGTGATTAATAAATTCATAGTTGAATCTGAAACTCAATTGTCCATTTTGCATTAAAGTTATGCATGTGATCATAAAGTTGTTGTTTTTTATGTCTTACTTTTAACTTTTGCCATTAGTTTGAGTGATACAAAGGCTTATAATGTTCCACATATTCAACATCGTAATCACACATAGCATGATTTTTCCAATTGCGCAGCTTTATAGTGCATGTTTTTCAAAGGCACATCATAATACTTCAGCTCTATTGATTTACATGCAAGACATAAAATAAATATAATTGTTGCCCTTAAGCAATCTTCCCCTCACAGCCTCATTTCACTGCACTTGACACTTCCCTAACAATATTGCTTAATTGCAAACTCGATAAAACATGCAATCAGAGCGTGTATGGGAGTTTACTGTTTGAATTTATGGAAATGCACGAGCAGCAGAGGCCCATGTGCGTGTTACTTGTAGGCTACACCTGCACTTGTCAAGGTACTCAACTACTGCGCGGTAATTGGCTGTTGATTGCTGCCATTAACATGTGATGGCTAAGTGCATCTAATTCCTGTTCCATTTTCCATAGTTCAATTTGATGTCACCACCACCCACTCCTCTTGGTGATTAGCTGTGGTACTTGGGAAAATTGTGCTTTTTTCTAATAATACGCGCACAATATGGGAAAGAAATAGCGGTATCACAAGGCGCGCGGTTGTAATTGACGCCTGGCCTAATTGACGTGCTTTACAGTGCACTGTAAAGACAATATGGCGGCTGTAATTTAGACCTTGAGTGTCGAAGCTATCCAAATCCAAGTGCGAAAAAATGCGTTTAATATCCCAAGTTATGCTCTGATTTGTCGGACAAACTAAATCGTCTCTTCAGTCGTGTGTCTTTGTAGTTGAAGCACAAATGATTACAGCGAATGGCACCGTATTTTTTCCCCATTTGCATCTTACAGTATCGGCACCTGCGGGCATGGAGACATGGTATCCCTTTGAGTTTTAATCTCTTCGTCTGTCTCAGTCCTTGCGGCTATTTCATTTAACTTTTAATATGTGTATTTGACATTTTCTTCATTTGTACTCCTCCTCCCAGCCTTCTCCGTCCCTCGCCTTATAATTTAATTGACGTGCTGCTGCCTTGTGCTGTTTGTTTTGTCCTTAGTGAGCGTATCTCGCCATTAGTCATGTGTTCACTCTATATTATAGGCTACTGTATTTAACATTTCACATAAGGCTAATTCATTTTTTCATGTGTTAAAAGCGTATAGTCGTGTTTACCTCAGTTAGATAAGCATGTACAAGTATAGTAAAAAAACGGCTATAGTTACCTGTGTTAAATGTGAATAGCAGACTTTGTGATAGTTTTATTTGGAGAAAGCGTGGTGGCCCCGTGGTCTTTGTCTGCGCCGCGCTCAGCTCAGAGGGGCCAGTGCGTCCAGGGGAATGGCGCGTCTGCCATCTGCAGTGCGTCAGAGGCACTGCAGCTTTTAGCCATTTACGTGTGGTTCGTTGAGTATGATGATAATGTCGTGTTTACTAGAGCAGGCAAGGGTCTAGGGCTAGACTAAAATGAGCCCAGTTTCTTCATAATATAAGGGTGACTTTTCAGTGAGTACGTAATTAGCACGTAGCATATTCATGAGCATGCATTTTATTTATATAGCCTCATAATAATAATAATAATAATATATATATATATATATATATATATATATATATATATATATATATATATATATATATATATATATATATAGAGTGTTATAAGTGTTACAAACTTCTATTTTGTTTCCCCATTTTTACCAGCTTTCTATGGCATGTTGATTTGTCTATTTTTAGACATGAGAACCTTATATTTGTCCCTCAGTGTGCAAATATGTAAAATAAAGATGAATAATTATTACTTTAGATTAGTTTTATTAGGTCAATACATGTATGTAGTGAAACAATTCAATGTGTGGCATGATTTTGAGAGGAAAGCTTCAACAGCATGAGAATCAGCTCTCATTTTCTGTAGTGTTCAATTATAATGCCTACTAGAATTACCAATTCAGTAAACATCTATGTGCTTGATCATGCTACTTGAACAAGTAAAAAAAAACAGTTTGCAAGGCTCATTTACAACTAAACAAACCCCTGTGAATATCTAAAATCAGTTAAGTGCACCCAGTCAGAAGATCCCATCTCAGAAAGTCAGTCCTATCTGGCTTTTGGCTCCTGCAACTAATTAACTTCACACATCAAAATTTGAATTTAAATTAACTATTGTGAGATAACATCAGGGGACAAAAGCACCCCACGATGAAGTTTATGATGAAAAAAAGAGGAGTATTAGAACAGGCAATTGGTGAAGTAAGGAGGGCTTTCAGATGAGGGGGATATCTCCAATTACAATTGTGCTTACACTTGTCAGCAGTAATGAAATGTTTGCAGAGAGCTCGCTATTTGTGGCTCTGTTCGATTGGATGATGCTGCTCCACTGCCCCCACTAACAATTATATTCCTTGCATAAATTTTCCTACAATGATTTCTTTTGTGTTGGGCTTTGGATATACCTACAGTGTCCAAGAGGCCAAGGATAATGAAACCTTATCGTGCCTGAAGAGTTGGCATGTTCCACTGTAAATGATATGCATAGATTTAAAACATGCATCACAAATAAAAATTAAAAAGGAAAATGTCTGCTTATTTTATTGTTTTTAAAGAATTACATAATGCATTAATCACAGTAAAGACAAACCGGCTTTTCCCGCTATGTCATAGTTGTGCAAGCTTACAATTAAAATTACATAGATGACTTCCTCCATCCTCTCTTTGAGCATCAGATGTACAGGGAGCAGAATGTAAAGCTTTGGAAACCTTTTTTTCATCATTATTATAACTTGACACCACTGGTCATAGGTTTGCATACAAAGAGCTTGAAACTGCACTCACTTCACAAATACAATTTCTTTATATATAAAATAAAGGGTATAATTTAGGGTTGGGACAGTGTAAAAGGTTATATGAGGAAACGCTGTAACGTAAGCCAGGTCCAAATAATTTCATCAGATCTGTGCAGTATGCATTTCCAATTAAAGTGACATCACATAAACCTAATTAGTATAGATGCAACCTGCAACTTGATTTTCCAGTGCATGGTTTTCTCATCAAATTGATTACACTCTGGGAGGGATATTACATACACATGGCACTGCTGCTGCTATAGAGGGCTATAAAATGCATCTGTTTAACTGTTGTCCATAAAACGTGAATGTTCAGCTTTGAAGAGTAACAGTCTAGTCCTTAACTTTGCACTCAATAACTAGCTTAATTACACCGCGGTTAGTTTTAACAAATGTTGCTTTAAAGGCTATACATAGTGATGGTGTTTTAAAAGTACACGGCTCCCTGTCAGATATTTAAGAAAAGACATCTCTGTGCAAAATAAATTGGTTTGATATGCAAATCCATGGACGACGAAATGCCTTTCATAGGTCTGACATACCCACCAATAGTGTTTCAGCACAATGGAAAGTTACCTGTGACTTTTTACAAGAGGAGGCACACTCTAGACAGTTTCTCACGCTTTCATTAGCCCATGTCCTATGCAAACTATGACGTCAGTAATATAAGTGTTTTAATATTGTGCTGTCTATTAAATTATTATGAAAAGATATAGATTAACAAAGCTATAATACAAAATGAATTGGAAGATTTCAAGAGAAAATTAGACTTTGTCAATTAATCATACATGCTTGGATTATAATTGAGTAGTACAATGATACTGGGATACCACACACCACACAAATTGAGGAGATAACAGAAATAAGTGCACATAACGAGTCCCTTTAATGAATGCATAAGGAGGTAGAAAGCTAAAATCCAATGTTTTGCCCATGCGGACGTGTGGCATCTCATGTACAAAGATCAGAAAACGATTCCTAACATTTATATTGTTCTATAACAAAGGCTTGTGTGAATCAAGGGTGAGAGATGTGACTAGAACAAGCATCACAACGTTTCACCAACTTTTCTAACTAGACTCCACTGTAGATATTATAAAAAGGCCCTACATTTAAAAATCACAAGAAGACCCTCAACCAGTGCAATATAGAGATCCAGGACTCTGTTGTCGACCAATGTGGGGCATCAGTCAAATTGACCACAACGCTGAGGTAGGATCAAAAATATCAAAGGGGAAATTTGTTCAATCTCAGTACCGCAAATGCATTAAAGGGACTGAACCATGACAATCACTACTGTACAGAAGCTCTATTAAAAGGATGAGTTTCTCAGTTTTTAAGTAAAATCAGTTTGGGCCATTGGAGTGTAAGGTTAGGGATAATGCCTATCAGTCTTTGCTGGTTAAAAAAACTAAAGGAAGAAAAATAAATCCAAAAGCTCTACCTGTACAAAGCGCCCCAGATCAAAGGCACTGTATTCAGTATTTCCATAAATGCCAGTTTTGGCAGTTAACCCTGTGTCTAATTTGCCCACCACCCCAACTATGGGCTGTACTAACTAAAGTGCCTTCCTATTTCATCTTTAGCAAGTTATCAATGAGACTTGCCTCAGACATCATCAAATGGGCATGATATGCGTTTTCTTTGTTGAATGAAACAAAGTATAAATAGAACTAGAAATAAATACACTTTTTGTATAAATATGTGGGCCCTTTTGTCCAAATTGTGATGACAGTATTTTTAAGGAATTTAATGAAGTTATATAGAAAAGCTGCCTTCCTGTATGCTAGCTAGCCTTGTGTGTGTATTGTATTATTTTGAATTTATTAGGGACTAGATCTCATCAGTAACCATCATGCACTGTAAATCCCTATGTTACAATGCATTTAATGAACATTAAATTGTAATTTAATTGGAAGCCCTTCCCTCTCACTCAGGGGAAAATAAAGATCAGTGATTACATCAAGGAAGTCTGGTCCCTTTCAATACGATTAGCTTTTGTTTTGATTTAATATCATATTGGTAATTTTCTATATAAAATATTTCTATTATCGACTCCAAACGTGAAACAAGACAAAGATAAAATGAAAAATAAAGATTAATATTTTGCCAATTATTTCCCCAGCCGTTATTCTACCACGGCTAAAACCTGGATTTGTCCACATACACTTAGTAATATATTTTTGTAGTCTCTCAAAGTCTCTGGCTATGTACAAAGCTATACAAATAAAGAGCAGGCGGCGGGCCAGGGTTTATTAGCTGTGCAGAGGGAGCAGTTGGTTGGGAAGTCTCTCAGTCTCCCGGCTCCTTCCCCCGCAGTCTGCCCATACAGGTGGCTGTTCTGCTTCACTTGCGATCGTCGATGGTCTTAATGAATTCCAGTGCTGCGGTGAACTGCATCCACCAATAGCACTCCTCCCCACTCAGCCGGCTGGCGTAGAAATTATTGATGTACTGAACGGTGGACAGCAGGCAGGGCGGGTTTGCCTGGAGGGGAGGAGACGTGGGGATGGGCCAGCATTAGCAGCCGAGAAGAACAGCACACGCACATTGCTATACACATTATGGTCTTAAAAATGGACATGTGTAAAAAGGTAACCGCACTGCTGTTTATGGTGCATTAAACAGTGTCTACTTAAGCAATTACATGTGGAGTTAAGCTAAAGGGGAAGAAGAACTGTCAATCTGTAGTTAACAAATAGATGTTTGGTAAGAGTAAGTTACAAAAGAATTGTGTAAAAAGTTTACAAAAGCAGCATGCTTAGTTACAACCGCCAATAGGACATTATACTGCTATTTATTCACCTGTTCTACAACTACTGCTTGCAATGAGATACTGAAAATGTTTAGCTCCTATGACATGAGGAACAGTTGGAAAACGCTTGTGTGTTAGTTTAAGTTAATTTGTTTAACACTGATAGCGGACTCACCCTTATAAGTACAAAGACCAGCACAGGGACAAAATCATCGGCTCCAGGCACTGAGTCCTCATTGGCCAGACTGAGCAGGTTCATGATGGTGGAGCACATGCGCAGTATACACTGCACTTTGTCTCGGGGAGTCTTGTAGGCATTGATGCTTCTGATCTCAGACTGGGCTGAAGGCCAAGGAGCCTCTTTTAGATAAACCTGAAACAACAGATTTTTCTTTATGTTGTAATGAGTTTAAAAAAATGGCCATATGAACAAATTAACATACTTCTGGGATTTGAAGAGCTCTGTGGTTTGCAGTCACAACTTTTGACAGCCTCTGGATATGTTCATGGAAAAGTCTGCAATGAAAGTTATTTGATAAAAATGTTGTGGATGAAAACTATTGGAGCAAATACAGCTATCAAATGACACTACTTACTGGTCTCTCAGAATATCTCCATCCTGGTTTGGATAAAAGGCCAGTTTGAAGATTCGGTTCATAACACTGCGCTCGATAGCCATTTGGGCATCCTGCAGCTGGTCCTCACTTGCATACTGCCAAATGGCATCTCGGGCCATGGCGCCGTATAAGTAGCGCAGAAAATCCTCCACTGATGCAGTCTTGTCATCAGCAGCTGTGCAGCCCTGAAATGCTAACAACAAATACAAGAGTTAAGAGAACAGCACTACGGCTGTTATAAAATGGTTCTAAATAGATATAGGGAAATCAGTGACAGATACCTTTGATGAAGTCAAGCATCTTGGACTCCATGTGTTCCAGGAGGAGGCGGACACAGACAGTGGTGAAGTACCGGTTAGCGACATCCTTGTCTCGGAGCACCCTCTGAAGCAGCCTCTCCAGATGTGCCTGTGAAGTCTGCAGACCTTGTCGACATCGGGTCAGATAAGCTATGTATGGCGCACGTTTTCTAAATTTAAAAAAAGTAAATATATTTATTATGATCTGAAAAAGTGAAGTGGTCAAGTTTGAGTAAATTTTTTGTTGATGAGCACCCCTTTGTAGACCTACACTTACCTGTAGTCCTCAGCAATGGCAGCTAGTAGCTTTCTGCAAGTGCGTGCATCAAAGCGGCTGACACAGCGCGTGGTCTCCTGGATCTGAGCCATCTGGTCTCTGTCCTGCAGGTTTATGGCCTCCGCAAGCTGTACTTTCAGGAAGCAGACGATCTCATTGTCTGAAATGGACAATAAGAGAACTGAATAAGACAGTGCTAAAAAAAGCCTGTTATTTTAGTTGATCATTTATACCTGATCTTTACAATAAATCTTTAAAATATGGGGAAAGTTGAAAGATTGGTTAATTATTATAGATGCAACTATGACTAAAGAGGTTGAGAGGCCTAATTTTTTTTTTTAATTTGGGAATTCTCAACCACCTGCCTTTTTCACAAGCTGGCATAAAAGAAGTCAGAAGGCTAAGGTTTAAAGTTTCCTGGAGACATTTTAATTAGTTCGCCAACATTTAAGGTTGATAGCTTGTTCCCTTTGTAGTAAAACTGCAAATTGTGGGCAAAAAAACATAAAACCCTTGAACCTGCCTTAAACATTGACTTTAAAAAGTAAATATTGTCTCAGGCACTCACCTTCAGGATCCATGTGGTCAGGGAGTCCATTTCTTGTGGTTGCAGGAGCCATGATGGGCAGAGCTATGGAGTCTGCCGAGCACAATGCCAACCTCAGTTTCTTCTTGGCATCACTAGTGAATAAATATTTAGTAAATATAAGAAAACCCAAGGGAACAACCTGATCATTCAAATACTGAGGGGCCACCTAAAGGAGAACTTGGTGTCATGCTGCTGTGCTGTCTGGCTGGCTGAATCTGGAAGGTCATCTGTGGATATATTTTGTAGTGCATCCTCTCTTGAAGAGTCATGGACATGGTCCTCGACACACAGGTCTATAATACCCAGTTTTTACTCATTAATAATAATTAATATGTGTAATGCTGTGCGTCAGTTTTATTATACAGACCTCCTGTTCCATCATACGAGGCTCCCCCTGTAGCTCCGTCACTTGGACTTGTCCTCTTTATGTTTCTATACTTGTCCAGAATGTCCTCAGCTGCCTGGGCTTGAGAGTTTTGTCTGGGCAATGGGTCATCTGAAAGTTCAATCAAAAACATGTCATTAAAAAAATGTTCTAAACAGAGGCAATATTGTCATAGTCATTTTTAAAACAGTTTAAAACCTTGAGGGATGCGCTCCTGTGTTATGTCATCCTTCTCCTGTTTGTCTCTTTTACGAAAGGCTGCTATTGGAGCTGGAACATACAAGTGCTGTGAACACTAGGGAGACTTTTATGGCTGAAGAAAGAGGATTGACCAATGGGTCAGACCACAAATTTAAATGCTATAAACAAGATGAAAGAACAGATGAAAGAACCTTAACCTTCATCACAAGAAGCCAGTACTCTCCAATATTGTTTTTGCAATAGCCACCAAACCATATAGGACACTATTTACAGGGGAATACTGACATGTTTGTGTCTCACACCATTTCTGTTACATCACAGGTCTAGAGCTCTAGCATCACACCTACAAAAGGAGCACAGCAGTGGAGGGTGACTTCAGCAGCAACGCATTACCTGATACCTCTTCCTCCTCCTCCTCCTCAGCTGCCCAATACAGCACTGTGAGGGACATAACACACAGGGTTGGCCTTTCACACACAGACTCTCTGTGGGACAACTGTCTGGTCCTCAAAAGCTCAGGAAAAAAAAACATACTACTGACTCTACAGGTTAAGGACGACCCACTGCCTTTTATGAGAAGGGCATGTTGAGGGTTAACACATCTAGTACACAAAATATAGTAAGCATTATTAATGGGAAGTTTCACAAGTTAATAAAAAATTAGCTTATCTACATTTCTAGTATTGAAATAACTACATGCAGAATTTTATTGATTTGGGATACTTCATCTTGGTAGATCTGCACATTTTTCTGTCGGTCCCCATACTGTTCTCAAGCTGTATATTGAGAATATCAATTTAATGTTTACTTAAGAAAGATCATTATCCCCAAGAGTAATAAGCAGGCATTTCATGTAAGCACAGCTCATTATTTTGCAGACAGATGTATGAGAGATGATTGTAGAGTAGAACTGCAACAAGAGATGCGTCATCTATCAGAGCTTGTGACAGAGAGGTCTATCTAATGACCATTAGCCGCTGGCTGACAGCACTGCTGGGAGGGCTACAGCCATACAATCTACACAGCTAAAGCTTCTCTGATGACTGATTAGCTTTGAAAAGTCTATATAAATCTGCAGCCAGTGAGACGAGAGAGAAAAAGAACTGGACACGTCTCTGGAGTAACTTCAAACAAGAAACATCATTTTCCAAGTGGAACATCAGCAATGGAGTGGACAACATGGATCATCATTCTCTTTCTCACATTATAAATTGGCTTTCGCTCTGCTCTTTAAAGTGTGATATTTTCTGTCAGTTGTGATTAAGAGAACTTTTGCCACAATAAAAAAATAAAGGAGTGTTGCAATGAAACAGATCACTTTTCAATGTACAGACATACATTTGTCAGTTTGTGAAAGAAGACAAGCTCAAAATGACCAAGTGATTGGTTGCCTGACCTTTAGGAATGGCAGACACAAAGCGCTTTTTCCACCATGGTCTGTTACGATCAGACTTCTCATCATCACTGTCCTTTCTCTCTTCAGGCTAGAAAAAAGTGGGTACACATTAAGTACAGTTTTGAGCAGTGAAAGCAGTTGTGTCTGGTTTAATTTCAGCAGAATTGAAGATACCTCTCCTTTAAGAGAATCCTTGCTGGGTGAAGAGGAAGGTCCTGAGGCAAAGACCCCCGACTCTCGCTCTTCCATAGCAACCCTGCGGTTCAGACCGGGGTCACTGGTGGGACGGCGGCCAGGACACACAATGTCTGAGCTGCGACTGCGTACCAGTCTGTCGGGGAATGAGTGTCTCTGCTCCACCTGGGCCAAGCAGTGGGGGGTGAACATGGAGTGACGTGCCTCATGTCCCAGGGCACTGGCTTCAGGAATTGGGGGGTCAGGAGGGGGATGGGCAGGCCTGGCATAGTGTACTTTGGGTCTTACAATTGTTCCAGTTGACGAACCTGAAAAAGAAATTGTGTGTTTTTAGTCTGCATAATAATGGTTCCTCCCTGTAGTAGATGTTAAGTGTATAAAAAAGTCTTTTACAAAACAACACAGAAGAATGCTAAGGAGAGATGTTAGTGAGAGACAAGCCCTAGTGTAGGTAGGCCACCTGTTCCAAGGGTAGACACTCTGCTGAAAGGGTTCCAATGGCAGCCTGGTGCCATGAGCACAGTGGGACAAGGGGACAGTGCCAAAGAGCCTGGGGTGAGGGCTCTCAACCTGTCAGCCCTTCACCTTGCCACAGACACACTGCGCTACCATTTCTTTCTCATTTCCACCACCACTCAAACTAAATATGCTCAGAGGAACAGAGATCCAAATATAATATTTTGCAAAGGGCAAAGTCAATTACATTCCTTAACACCTTTATTATGCATTATTATGCAATAATGCAAGTTAATTTTGTGACTTTTGGAGAGTTTAATGGCAAAGATTGTACAGAGTCTGTCAGAGCAATTACCTTCACCAGTGGAGAGAGGATCAAACATGGCCAGTAACGAGTCCGCTTGTGATGGTGGTGTCGTCAGGTGGTGTGCTCCTAAAAAGGTAACAGCCAATCATGACACAATGCACAAACACAATACACATACAAAGGAAAAAAAATTCTATTACTCAAATATATTTATTTAAATAAGAGAGCAGAACAAGAAGCAAGCAGAAACTATAACTTGGTTTTGCACAAACTGGAAAGTGAAACAAACCTGATACATTCTGTTCTATTCCCAGCTGAACACACTTTTTATACAGAACTCTACTATTAATTGTTATTAGTAATTGTGTAACAAAACTGTATAAAAGTTGAACAAGTTGGATCTGAGAAGAGCGTTTGCATAGACAATTAGATGAAACCAAGTCTTTTCCAGGTTTGGATAAACTCACTTTAGTCTTTCACTATTTTAGGATTTGGGGACTACAGAAGTCCTAAAATACTGCATGCTTTCAACTTTGCTCTAGATTGTTAGTAACTTAAGTGTCATTAACGCTGTAAACAGGTGATTAAACTTAGTGGCAGCTGTTGAGTAGACAGGGATTGATGGGTCTGACTGATGTTGTTTGGACCACATACACACTGTACATGTCCTGGTGGGAATGTGACTCTGTCCTACCGTGGCCAGCCTCTTCCCCATCTGGACTGGTCACAGAGTCCTTCCCTCCAAAATCAGAGCTGCACTCTGACCGCAGGTCCTCGATCTTGTTGGGGATGTCTTCTGATGTTGCACTAATACCTGGGGCACACACAAAAACAGCTTTGACATTCACACCAAAAACAACTCAATATCACCTTAACAATGAAATCAAATTCAAGGTAAAGGGGAACTATTCATACAAAAGGGATCTTTCTCTCTCTAGACTATGCAGTGCAGACTGGCTCAGTTGGAAACCAACTGGGACCACTAAATTGGTAGAGTAAGCTCCCTTGGGTCTGGAGACAGACATAGATAAGAGTGATCATCAGATGCAGGCTATCCATCGGCCTGATCCCTGGGGGAAGGGTCCCCTGAGCGCAGAGTCGCGGACGTCGTGGCTAGCTTCTTAATCTACGATACTACTTCATGCTTGTCAACATGCATGTCCACCTGAGCCCAGGGAAAACACAGGCAGCATTAACCTCTGTATCACATGGAAAAATGTACATGACCCCTCTACCTGGGTTAACAGGCCTGCCAGCAATATGACCGGTCAACACAAAAGCAAGGACAGCTCGAAACAAAGTTTTAACCTAGATGTTAACAAGTATGGAGGTTCAGTGAATGACTAATGAACATTTTAACAAAGGTAAAAGGTATCCCATAAAGGGGAGTAAACAAGTAAATGCAGTGTACAGATTTGTACCTGAAACCACACTGAGTCCTGGAGTGCTGGGTCTGGAGCTGACCTCTCGGACCTCTGTGTCATCAGAGGTGCTGCCCACTCCTGAGCAGCTCTCCAGCTCCTGCAGACGCTCCTCCTGTTTCAGGTCAGGCGCTTCTAAGACGACATAAATATTAAGGTTTATTTGGGCTTTTGATTTTACTGATGAAATTAAAAACAACCAAACCTAAGGTATTTAACAGCATCTGATCCACAGATGGTGGCCCTCTCCACCCTTTTTGTTGATTATTGTGAAACCAAGTGTTCACATATGCACAAAATCAAACATGACATACATTATAATGTGTTGTAGCGGCCAAACTGAACCATTAAACTAGTATGGCCAATTCTTTGGTGACCCAGTGGAGCTGTTGGGCTGAACCCAGAGGTTTCATAGTAACAGCGGTGCTCATTTGCATGCTCGTTAGTAATAATGTGTTGGTGAAGTGCTCTTCAGAGTGTAGTTTTCTGGTGCCTAACCATGAAACAAGCACTCTAGCTGGATCAATTCTCCGACTGTGTGATTATGGAGCAGAATAGGAAAGCAAAACGGAAAAAAAAAAACAATCAAGACATTTTGTGTTCTCTTTTTTCATTGTACTTACAGAAATCATGCTTTAGGTCTGAATTTGCACTGCACTGTTAAGATGAGCCACATACAGAACTGACACAGTAAACTAACTGACTGGGGACAGCTGCTGTCCTTGTGTGCTTCTCCTCACTGCTCCACCACAGGTGCAGACACACCTGGTGGTCTGTCGAAGAAAGTCTTGAGCTGCCTTTTACTATACAGTACACACATTCATATTTGTTTTGAAAGACAGCAAATACAAACCAATGTTGACAGGTGCTGTGCACATTTTGAGTGTCCCAACCCCCAGTGTTACACAAGCATAAAGATCACCCATGCAAACACAGAAATTAGAGTGTAAATACAAAAATAAGTGTTTCATATCCAAAAATCAGCTTACCTGAGTCACTGGGCAGCACCTCCACACTCCAGGCCTCACTGGTGGTTTCTGATATAGTGGATCCATAGGGGTCCAGCAGAACTGAACCAGAGCCAGGCAGACACAGCAGGCTACCGAGCATGTTCTCTGCAGCTGCCCCTGAACACAAAGAAGGGCAGACACAAAGAGTAAAGCACCATCCACAGAAAGGCATTGATTTTAGGATAGAGTAAGAGCAGCAAGAAGTCTCCTCTGTGGCCCCAAAGTCATCTTAAAGACACATTTCAGCTCCGTGCACAGCTTGTTAAGGCACTAAGGTTGATTTATTTTCTGTAATTAGTTCTTATCAATAATTCAAGCTTTTTTTAAATGAGCAATGTGGGAAAGGTGGTGTATGAAGATCCTTCTAAAAACAAGTCGTTGGTAACATGCAGGTGATATAATGTAATGTGAATACAGGGGAAACAGGCCAGTTGTTACCAGATGTGCACAATTTTGTAGTACTTATCTACGAACAACTAGCCTCACTAACCTTGCTTTTTTGTTGGCTCATTTGTGATGGACTTAAAATAAACAAAAATTAACTAAAGCAACTATGCTGACTGTCACTTTTTAAGAATGTAGTTAAATCACAGTGTGAAAGGCAACAAGAGCTGGAGGTCACATGCATTTCCTGCTGGGCCCTACAGGCGCAGATACCACAGGGCCAAAGTTCAAAGGTTAATGGTAATATCTCACCCTGCCTTGGCCTCCAGAGCCATGACTTTGAGCTGTTGATTAAACCTAGCATTACTCACAACCAAATTACCACTTAGCTCGACCTCCCACAACATCCGCCACACAGTGTCCCTCCATTTGGAAGAGCCAGAGCTTAACAAGGCAGAAGAATGTGTCGAGGTGGGAATTGAGCAAGCAGGTGTGAGTGGGTGAGGGCTCAAGACCAAGTCCTCCGATGGCCCCCGCACCCCCTGGTACATCACGCTTCCACTCCATAGAACACAGGCAGTGTGAATGAATGAGCATGCCAGCACCCAGGCAACTGTGTGTGGTGTTGTTGGCGGGGTAAGGCTCTGGGCGGCTGTGGGAGAGCTCTACCCCGCTGTCCGTGTTTACAGTCTTCAAGGTAGGGGCGCAGAGTACATGTCTTTCAGGTGGATGATTAAATGAGTGGCACAACAAGAAGTGAAACAATTAGAATTTCTGCCTCATTATCATGGTAATCTTATCAGTGGGATAATGAGGTATTAATGGATATTTAATGTGCATCTCATAACCCAATCCCTTGGAGAAAACACATAAGGAAATCGCTGTAAATTCACTTAATGATGGAAAAGTCCCCCAACACCATATTCCGAAGAATGAAAAATGGTGGATGCAAATGAGAAGGAACCAAGGTCAATAAGACAGCAGGGACTGAGTGAATGTCAGAGAGAGCGATAGAGAAGGAGGAGAGAAAGAGATCGGCATCGGGCTGAAGAAAGAAGACAGACAAGTACAAGTACATCAGAAACATTTTAACATTAGAAGATGTTATTATATTAGTGGGTATTTTTATCCACTTTGTAAGTATTACAGCTAATGTTCTGTGTTCCAAGTTTCATTGTGAGGTAGTACATTTGTAATTCCTGCTTAGACTCAATACAGTGTTGGAAATTATAGATAAACTTTTCACATGTTACTGTGTGTTAAGTTTTAAAAGATTAACTTGACCTATATTGCTTAAGGATTAGTATGTATTATTGCAAGTTGACTATTGGTTGGATAGCCTGGGGTGCTATTCAACTTCAGACCACAAGGTGATGACAATTCCCTGGATAAAAAGAAGCATACAGTACTAGATATCAAAAAGAGGCCAAGTCTATCATAAAGTTAATAGTAACAAAACTTTCTCACCTGCTATTTCCTGTAATCGGTCTTCGTCCATGTTGGGATCGAAGTCACTGCCGAGTACATCTGTGCTCCAGGTTTCACTTACAGTCTCAGAGATGTCTCTGTCTTCAGTCAGGCCCATCATGTCTCGGATTTCAAACTTTCGCAATTTATCATCCAAGTTGTCCTGAGTGGTAGCTGTAAAAGAAACACAGCATAATCAACCTGACCAGCATTAAATTAAATATACACTACAACCCAACTAAAAATAAATAAATAAGCTTACCCTGCTCATGCTCTAAAAGCTGTAAAGCCTCCACCCCATTACTTCCTGATGGCCCAGCTCCGAGCTCAGACACAGATTCTCCCTCCAAGTCCAGAGAGGACACAGAGTTAGAGCGATTGGACGGACCTAGACAAAACATACAAAAAACTATGATTTTAGTATCTCACTTTTCTTACTGTTAAACATCTGATGCTTATGTGCAACATGTAAACCCACCAAACTCATTATGTGAATAGAAGTGCTGACTGACCTTCTGAGATGCCTTCCAAGTTGTCACTACAAAGGGAGAACCTCAGGGTCTTGTCTGGTTTTCCATGAAGTTTAGATTCATCAGTGGGACCATCTCCCTGAGGCCCATCACTCATCTGCAAGTTCAAAACCTAAAAGGCAATCAGACATATTAAGAATTACTTAGGGTATATGATTATACAGCAAAATACATTGTGTTGTTTTTTGCAACAAAATACAAAATGTAAAACAATAAAATAAGTAGTAGTAATATATTAGATGTAGTGTACAATAAATAAATTTATGATTGATGATGATTTCAAACATTTAAAACAAAGAATAGCACACAGAGGAACATTGCTTTATACAACATCCCCACAAATCTGATCTACTAATACTTTATATGTGGTACTATGGTTAAATTATGACTTCTACTATGACATAGTGCAAATTATACATTGTATATTGGTAGGCTCCCATATAATACTGCATCTTCAAATGGGATGGAATAGAAACTAAATTAACCCCATAGCTGCCTTCTCACCAAATGACCACATAAATTCAAGTCACATTACCTCATTTTCTGACATCATCCCGGGGACATTCTGCGGTCCGGTTCCAATAGAAATCACCAGCACCTCCTCTGGCGCCAGCTCTTGGAGGGACTCCTGGGAGCTAGCCTCTGCCTCCCCCTCCTGGGCAATGTTGGTACGACTGCGGCTACGGGCAGCTGCTGGTTTAGGGGAATTAGTCAAATCAACAAGAGTTAGTTACTGGCTTTTACTTATGCAAATCGGCTGTGTTAAAATAATTATATGAGAGGCCAATATGTTAGTGGGTATGTGTTAGGAAAGTAAAAGTAAGCATGGTTGTGGTTGTGGATTGCCATAAATTCACCAAAGAAGCAAGATGACAGGATTCACCAGGAATGTTTAAGTTTTCTACACCCATCATTGATTAATTTAGGTTTTCAAGTTTTAGGTTTTTTTATTTTGTTTTCAGAACTGTTGGTGGCTAAGCCTAAAAGAAATTAACAAAAATTATCAATCCACTCTACCTGGTAATGCACAGCCAAACTCCACTGGATGGGAAAGCAAAAATTATAGAAATTTAGATAAAGCAGTAGTTTATAGCTGGAATAAATAGCCCAAGCACAGTACAAAGCTAAAGCATATATAGCTAGTGCAGAACAACCAAAGCAGTGCTTCTAGGTGCTAATGTGGAAGACAGGGTTAAAAAGTGGAAGGCAGGGTTAAAACTGTGCAGGATAGAGCTTAAACTAGTGCTGCATGAATTTGATCAAACACAAAACTGAGTGAAGCAGCAGATGAGGTCACAGCGAGCTTTTATACAACTGACAGGAGGCTACCCACCAAAAGGGGTTACTAAAGGAATGTGAGCGGACAGAGAAGTGGAAGTTGGATCCCAGGAAGTTATAGCAGCTAAGTGTTGTCCTGGTCAATCAGTAGCAGTAAGAGGAAAAGGAAAAGTTGGGGGATTGGAGAAAAAAAATATAAATTACATTTGAGATCTCCAAGTATAGCCATTTTTAAACATCATGTCAAGATTGTGTTTATAAAATTCATATGTCAAAGCAGGCACAAGTGGTTTATTCCTAATTAAGAGGGAGTCGCCATGCCATCATTTGTCTTTAAAATGCTAATGAAGGAAGCCTATGCATCTTTCCATCTATTCCAATTAAAATGAGTTCATTTATATTTGGTAATTTAATTGGTTGTCATTTCTATAATTGAGCCTCGATCCAGGCCGTGCTAATTATCTTTATAACAAGCCTAGAAGAAGCTCATTAGCTTTTGCATAAAACACAAGGCTTTCGCTAGCCATCAGCGCTCAACTTGTTTATGTTACTTCTCATTAGGCAAAATTATTCCAAACAATTGTGTTTTTGATTTTACATATAATTCCTGCAAATCAGAAAAAGCCTGACAGACAACCAAAATAGTCACAGAGAGGGGCAAAGTTTGGATGGGTACCTATAGGGAGACGGTTCTTCTTGTTGGCGGGAGTAGTGGCTGGGGATAGCTGTGGGGTATTGGAGGGAGTTAGCTCCAGACTGTTGCTCTTTACGGCTCTGGACTGAGGCACATTGGCGAGCAGGGTCTCCAGCGCCATGTGTTCCTCCTCTCTGAGATGGTCCCCTGCCGTCACACTCCGCACAAAATCCACCTGAAGACACAACTGATTTAGATCCAGTTTGGAAAACAGATTCAACTGTGTTTGAAGTTAGCACACTGTAACATATCATACTTCTGACATCACAGAAATAGAAATAAAAAAACAAATTTCAGATTGTTTGCTACCTAAAATGTATTCATTATAGGGAGTGGAGGGAGTCATACAACCACTTGCATCTTCTGCAGTTTTCAAATTACACAAAATTAAACAGGTTTTTAAATTTTTTTTATTGTGGGTACAAACCAGAGCCAGTAGCTGATTATGTGTTATGTAAACTGCTGTCCTGCTGAGGCCTTCCAGTAAGTTCATTGAAGACATTGGTGGGGTCTCAACTGCTCGACCTCCAATCACAACATCCAAAAAGGCTGCCACACAACTCTGTAAAAATCAGAGTTCTATTTAACATATAGATCTAATAATATGTTAATATGTCATAATAATTAAAATACACAGAAGGCAAAGACAACTGCCTTAGCACATACTTTATCGAATTTAGATAAACTACTTTTCCGTCTAGGGTCTGCATCATCATCTGCCATTGCCAGTTGTTGCAGTAGTTGTCCCACCTGAGGGAGAAAAATACAAATTCCATTATATACAATTATTAGAAAAGTAAATAATAACTTTGGTATAGCACACACCTGCATTAGATTAAAACGGGCCACTTCATTGATGGGGGCATCTGAAATAATGCCATACTGCTCAGGGTTGACTATGGCAGGGCAGATGAAGCACGTCAGAAGCAGGTCTGTGCACATGGTCCGAACCTCTCCCACTTCCAGACGCTCCACACACGACAGTGTTTTGTACATCTGAGAGACTATCCAACGGAGACTATGAGGAAAGCAGTATGTGTTCTGCTTCAGGTAACCAATAAATTTGTTGACTAGTGCTACGAGTTTGGCCTCATTGGCCTCCACAGCAGCCTGCACCCTCTGTTTGTAATCCTCTGACCCCTTCTCCCCAAAGCGCTCCTGCTGAGCTGGAGTCAGGCGCTCAGTGACTTTAGCTGGGTCTGTTTCTAAATGGTCCTCGTCCTCCACCAGCAGCTGCATGATGGGCTCATGAAGAGTGGCTGTAAGGAAGAGCTTGGCCGAGTACAGCCCCTCAGAGAAGAGCTTAAACAGGATGCTGAATGCACATGTCCCTCTGCGCAGAAGACGCCGAGGGTTTTCATTCTCCTTCAGCTCAAACTCAACTAGATATCTCAACACCTAAACAAACAAGGTCTGTTAGCCTTTGCAAACATTATGGCAATAGTGTTCATAAGACTATACCTGAAGCAGGTAGCTCTCATCCTCTTGCATGATGCAGTTTCCGTACAGTGAAGTAAAGACAGTATGGATGACACCCTGGGTGTGCTCTTGGTTCAGCCTCTCACCCGCGACCAAGCACGATGCCACAAGTCTGGGGTTCTCTCTGAGCCGGGCCAAGAACTCCCCATAGATTGTCTCTTGGAAACCAAGAATCTTGTAGCCGTCCACAAACTGGGTATCCTCCAGCATTTTGGCATGTTGGCAGCATTCTGCCGGGGAGGCCTCGGCACTGTAGCCAACAGTTTTAATACAATTACTAACAGGCAATTTATAAAAAATTTATCACTTCCACTGCAATATTTATCTCTACTAGATTTTAAAAATTTCTCATAGCTTTAATGAGTCCATTAGTTAAACATAGACACACAAAACTGGAACCTGGTGAGAATCAGGCGGTCGAGGTTGATCCTCTGTTGTTTGGCGATCCAGGCGGCTCGGTACAGCCTCTCTGCAGTCTTCAGCACATCACTGTTGAGCCTCTGGATGAGCTGCTTCTCTGAAGCCACATACAGACGCTCCTGCTTCAGGTGATGGGCCAGAGTGTGGATGTCTGGCTTCACCATCTTCTCCAGCTCACACACTGAGAGCGCTACGGACTGATACAAGAGAATAACCCTCAGTAATTTTGAGTTTATCAATAATAAATATTCTTGTAGAGGACTGTCCAACTCTGCAGTAACAAAAAGTTACAACCATAAGAGAACCATAAAACAGCCATAGAAATAGGGAAATAATGTTTGCTTTGAGTTGATATAAAACTGATTCTCTCTCACGCAAGGCAGGTAATAATTTGCAGCCAGTATGCTGGCTCATCAACAGCAGAGAAAGCATGCATTTTCACAAGCTTTTGGCAATACTCGAGAAGAGAAGATGCAAATGACTCACTCTCTTTTACATACACAGCCAAGACATACACACCCAGCTCGGAGCATGAAATTTCAATGATTTGTGTCAAATGTGTTGAACAAAGCCTCTTTGTGGCAGTATGCAAACATAGCAAACACAGAATTAGCTGCGGCATACAACAAGTGCCATGGGGAGAATATAATTGAAAACTGCCTGAGACAAAAATTATTCCAAAAAGTGCCAGTGACCCCAAAGTAACAGAAGCTACAACAGCTAAGCTGAGGAGACCAACAGATCTATGGGCTTATTGGTTAGGTCTATCACAACAATTACTATATCAACTTATCGTTCCATTCGCTCCAACGATATATGAAACAATCATTTTTGGAATTAATATTTCTCATAGGTACTGTTTCTTTGCACTAGTGAGGTACCTTTTGTTACTGTTCTCAACGATACAATTTGAGCTGTGTTTCAAACCAGTTTCAATATCATATTTATTGTCTAGATTTTCTTCAGGAATATATCAATATCACACTTCGAAAAAGTGTTATTGCAACAGGCCTCATTTTGGATAAGCTACATAAGAATATCAAGTATTTTTAAGATGTTTAAAAGGGCTGCATATTTATTGTTGTAAATATCACCCGCCCAGAGATAGAAGGCATATGAAACTTTATGAAAAAGGTGGTTTAAGCGTTTTTAAAAGTAGCTAATAACAAATACTACAGGCTCAAATTCTGACCAAATTCTCTATATTTGAAATCTCCAAAACAATACTATTGACTATTCATTGAGCCAATTTATAAGAAAAATATAGACAATGATTTCTTTATAAATGTTGCCAGCCAAGCTCCTACGGTCCCACTTCCATATGTTCTCAAATACACACATTCCACAGATACTTGAATGGAAGTGAAAAGGCAACTAGGCCACAACATGTCAAGTAAGGAGGCTAGTGGCTATTAGTCACGGCTGTGGCTGGTGTTGGCAATATTCCAACACACAAAGCTACCAGGTGAGTCATTTTGGAACGGACGGAGGAAGTCTAAAGCAGAAGAGAAAGAAAGATATTCTACAGCAGACATCACCAGTGAGAATCTTAATAGTCTGAACAGTGTGTCATGCATTAAGCCAATAAAGACAAAAAAGTAGACAGTAGTGTTTGAAAGCATTAGCATAAAGCTGGAGTGGTAAGCAGGTTACTTGCAACCTGATATGTTTTCACTTTCTAGTACCAACATCCTACGCACACTTCCCTTTCAGATAATTTCTTACACATCCATTAAAATCATTTACTGAGTATTAATTAAGACTATTACAAAGAGGTTTATGGTTGGATTTAGTCATTTGTTTGATCCAGCTATACCTTTAATCATGCCTATAAGTTAAGTTGAGCATTAGCATATGAAAGAACACAGCACAGAACAGTGCTGACCTGCAGTCTTTCCTCTGCTGATTTCCAGGTGATAAATCAAGTGGACAAACAAAATGTTTTAGTTTTGGAATAAGCCAGTAGCTTCCAGGATATAGCTCTAACAGGAAAAGATCCTTGGTCACAGTACACATAAAGAGTAAAGAGCAGACTGAGCACATTCCCATCTATGACACATATTGCAAGTATATAAAAAGGCCCTTTACTGTTTTTTGCTGTGAAAAGAGTCCAGCTAAGTAGGACAAAAAATCAAAATAAACAGAGATCAAGTGCAATTATCCTAATGTTTGCAATACAATACCACTAGCAAAACATTTCTGGCATACAAAAAAGCGGCAATGACTTAATGAACTATTTATGATATTGCCATTGTAGACAACATGTTTAGAAACAGCTGGGGTAGACAACTCAAAATTGCACAATTAGGACATTAAAACTGGCTTGAAATGACTATTTGCCTCAAATAACCTAGAAATGGGGACAAGGGTCACTGTTGGGACAGGATTTGGCTCTGATTTGTGTATAGTTGTCCTTGATGAAAGCCAAATGGGACTACTCATTCATAGATAATGTGACGCACCAAGGGTGGCAAATTTGTGGCGGTAGCTGTTTGGAGTTGGCTCTAAATTGAAAATTGAAAGCCAATCACTCGTCAGCTTTAAGAAATATTATGTCAGCTAAAAGCTATATGGGCCAGGTAAAATGACACAAATAGCGTATGGACGAAACAATGACCAACTATGATTGATTATACAGGATTATTGCAGGAAAACACAAGAAATGGCAACCACAATCTTTACCTAACAGGTAAGGGGTAAATTCAGCAAACAGAGGTTAGCCTAGACGAGCTAGCTAGCTAAGTTAGCTTAGCACTGGCTACAAGTTACTAGCTATTATGAGAACATTTGTAATAAAAATGTTTACTAAGATATATTTGAGTACTTACCAAATGTACGTTTGCGCTATGGGGCGATTGAATGCTTTATAAACAACAGCGATGAAAAGGTTTAATGAATGTGATGTGAGAGAATATTAGATGGCTAGCGCCTATAGTGGCTTCTGCAGAAGAACACCGCTGCTGTCATTTGCTGTCATCACGAGGAAAACTACCACCTGCGCATGCGTGACCGCACCAAATATTACAGCTGTAATGTTTTTGTGACTTTAAAGAAGTCATTCAGTGTTTTGGTTTAGTCTGGAAATACTTAAACTTTCTACTGTATTCGAAAATATAGATCAAAATATTATGGCAGCTATAATGCAATTAAAAGGCTAATACTTAAAACTACAAATAAAAAGTAGGACAAAACAGTCTTAGCTAGTATGATGTGGGCAGCGGCTGCGGCAAAGAAGTACCAAACATCTCCACTAGATGGCAGAGGGACATAAGCGCTGTGGACTACAGGGATCCCGAGCTGCACCGCTTTGAGCTAAATATAGTGCTCTGGTGAGCCAAGCAGCAACCGTTATCAAAACAGAGGAAGGCAAAGCACTGCACTGAATTTTAACTGAGAACAAGTTGTTAGCCTAATGGGATTGCTTCACCCATCCTTTTTTTTTTTTTATTAACTAAAATGTATAATAAAACCCATCATGGTTTGTTCACTCCTTTAATATGTCATATCAATCATGTATTTAGGTTATAAACATCACAAAATATAAAGTTAAGGAAGGTCACAAAGATATTCAATCAGGTAAAAGAGCAACCTTAGCTTTGACCATATTAAATGGAGGCTTTCAGTGCTGCTATTATAGCATAAGCATAATAGGCTTATGTAGGCTATAATTTATATTTTAGTGCAAACAGACATTTTGCAGGTTTAGTAATACATTATTATTTAGGCTATAATAAAATAGAATTTGGTGATAAATAATAAGGTTGCTCTTTTATTGCATATGGTATCACCCACAATCAGGTCTCAAGGTCATGTAGTCGAAATAATCTGATATTCAATATAGATATCTATTATATATACCTCTTACATTTTTAAGCATAAAACCATATTTTATCATCATAATAATGTAAATTATGCAATGCTAATATTAAAAGACCTGAATATAAATAGCATGCTTTAAGCAAAATAAGTGTTAATTTACAACATTAGTTCAGTAAACCTAAGTCAAAAGCTGTCAAGCTTTTATAAACTCATCACTCTTTACATTGCTTTGTGTCAAATGCATTATTACAGAAGGCCACTTCCAAACAAAGCTGTTGAAGAACGACATCAAGTTTTTTCTTTACAATATGAAATAAACATATAAAATATATATATATATATATATATATATATATATATATATATATATATATATATATATATATATATATATATATATATATATATATATATATATATTATTATATATATTTTTTTTTTTTTTTTTTTTTTTTTTTTTTGTGGGAAAACATTGGTTTGATTGTACTTTGAACATAATCTCAAGTAGTATTTTAAAGTTTTCCACACAGCTTGGGTTACTGGTCAATTATCAAATGATGGAACACTGTGTAAAGAGTCAGCTCAGGTGTGTAATTTGGAGATGGTAGTAGTTATCCACTCCAGTCTTGTGGAGGTAATAAGAGACTTTGTTAATAAATATAGTGTGCTTTATACATGTTTTGTACATACTGCACATCACATTAACATCTTTAACACCCAACACTAGGGGTTGTGCCTGTGGACTACATGCAGGCATCAATCATCTGAGTGCAACAAGCCAAAATAAAAGAAAAACAGCTATTGTATTATTTGTATATTAAGTAAGTGCAGTTCTTGTTTGTGCATGTGTGCAAACATATAATAGCTAAAAATACACAGAATAGCCAGATTTTGTCACGCGTTCTCAAACGTCCATAACACCCTAAGACATCCCATGTATTTACACAATATACATGTTTAACTGACATTTTAGTGCTTTACTAAATAATATCATCCAACAGATGAGGTGTGCCCACCCAGTCCAATGTCCTTGGCTCTGATGCCGCCATGATCATACACATAAACTGTTTCCCTGTTCTCTTATCTATGGGATAAATCGTGGTTGGTGTGAACCGTATATTGTTCTCCACAAACTCACAAAGGTGGTTATAAATTTTGGGATACTCATGCCGGAGGAAGACACCCCTTGTCCTGAGTTCACGCTGAATATTGACAAAGCAGACTTCCCGTGCTTTCCTTCCCTCCTCCCCTTCCCGATCTATGTCTGGTGTCCCAGGTGGTGGAGTTAAGATTAGAGTTTCCATTTCATTTTCCTGCTTGAGTACTTTTTTATCTGGACTAGACGATGCCAGGGACACCTTTGCATATTTGCGCACCGTTGGAGCTTGGATCCTTGGAGATGGTCTGTTAGGCACCAGTTCACCAACAGCTATGGATACATTCAGGAGGAAACATTCATTGGGATCATACTCATTTCCTGCCTGTTGTAGTTCTTTGCAGTATTCACCTAGATTGTCTTTGAAGCCGTCTAGCTCTCTGAGTGATAAGTATGTAGGAGACATGAGAAGGCTCTCCAGGCCCACCTGCAGGAAGTTGTTAGCTGTGTCCGGATTAGCAAAGCCCAGGAAGAGCACCCCTCTCCCTCGCGAAAGATAGCCTGCTTTAGCAACACGTGAGAAAGCTTTATGGATGTCTGTATTCTCTCTGCAAAACTTAAGTGTATGACGGCACACACTACTGACTCGGCCATACAAACAAGTCTCCTTATGAGTTTCCCAGTCATCCCTCCTGCAAGTTCGTGAACAGTAAAATGTGTAGCAACTGTGGCATGATTTAAAGTACAAACATGCATTGAACATACTTTCAGCCCGATTGCACTTTTTATTAGCGCACACCAGGTTGTCATCCTCATCTGTGCTATGGTCAGGTGAGCACTCCTCTGCACTCCTTTGAAAAGCATCACAGCCACTGTCTGCTTCCTTATTTGTGTCGGGGCTGGATTTACTAGATGTGAGCTGTGTATTAGAACTCTGAAGGTTTTCCACCGCAGATGTGCATTGGTCCTTATCATCAACATTTATGAGTTGCTTAAGTTGATCCAAGAGCTCATCGCTTGACTTCCTGCTTGTAGGTGGTTTGTAGTCTACAACCAGATCAGCTAACAGCTTGTCCAGCTGCTCCAGGCTTTGTTGTAGGGAAAAATTGTTATGTTTCCTGTCTTTGGTCAAATCTGGTGTGAGAGATTCTTGCTTCTGTTGCATCACCCTCGGAGTAGATCTCTTTTCACTGTCCATTACATCCCAGCTGACCGAGTGCACTTCACGCCTCTTGTTATTTCCTGCACATAAGTCATTGTCTGTGATTGTGATCTCAGGTGTTACAAACCACTGGCCACCTTTTATATTCCTCCAAGAGTTACTTGACCCCTTGTCTAAAGAGTTTTCTGATAGAGACAGTGCTGCATAGCGCCTTGGTGAGCTTGAGAGATTTAGAATAACAGGCTGAGAGGTAACATCAGTGGATGCTCCATGTCGAGGTTGGTTAAACAGATTCTCATAACTTCGACCACGGGGCACAGACTGATCTCTGTCCAGATGGGGATACAAAATATTGTCAAAAGATTTGGAGTGATTTTTAGCTTCTTCCCCAAGACGAGTGGTGTCCACACTCCCAAACCACGGGGGTATACCTGTCTCTCTTAACCTGGGATGTGTGTGCTGGAAGGACTGGCTGGAGTAACCAGATATACTGGACCGATACCAGTCATTAGACAGACCTTCAGATGGTCTCCGACGACCTTCTGTGTGATAAAGTCTTGTTGTGGGAATGTATGCCTCTGTGGGAGCGACATACGGTTTGGAATAAAAGAGCCCTGAACTGGTTGGGTGATATGTGTTATAGCGGCTTTCATCTCCAAAATAAGGTCTGGAAAGTGGTGCATGGGACACGTAAGACCCAGTCTCACTTGTAGAGTATGGTCTACTATAAACATTATGCAGAGGGTCCCGATCAGTGTAGTATGAACGAGGAGGAAGAGTGTGTACCCATCTAGTCCTTGGGTCATAGTGACTAGTCAGAGTACTAGCATGGCTGGTAATACTCGACCGATCATCCTGAAAGTACGGTCTGGAGAAGGGATGAATGGGAAATCGGACAGGGTCTTCTGTATAAAAGAACTTAGTGGGTATGTTGGGGTTTGAGTATGCTCTTTGTTCTGTAGTTAGGTATGGAGGTGTTGGTGATGGCATTCTGAAGTCTAAATGCTGGTAGGAGATGGGGGACATGCTGGTAGTATAGTGGTATCCTTGTCTAAAATCCCCGCTGTAGCATTCACTGGGAGTGGGCGTCGGTGAGGAGCCAATCTGTCGCGGTGGTGGTTGTACATACAAACCTCGGCTACTACCGGCCTGTGAATATCTTTGCCACTGATTATCGCCCCGTACATTGTGCCTTGTTTGCTGTAGAACCGCAGCATCTGGTTTAATGTCCACACGGCACCTAACATGAGGCGTAGTGGCTGGCTTGTCTCGTTTGCCTTCTTCAAAACAGTCAGAGACATAGAGCGGGGTGTGTGGTTGCAGTTTAATAGGATGAACTTCATTTAAAAAAGCCCTGTTTGATGAATAAGTTTCCTTTTGAGCATCCTGAGCTGCCTGAGGTGTGTCCCTACCTTTGCCTGTGCTAGGAGGAGACACAGAAATTGGCACCGGAGTGAATGTGGCCTTAATACGTGGTGTACTTTTAGATCTTGCTCTTTTTTTAGTATCGGACCACGATAGATGGCTGGTTTTGTCTTGCTGCTGCTGCTGCTGCTGCTGCTGCTGCTGAAGGAGCCTGGTGTTAAAAAGATCTGGAGATGAAAAGCGAAGATGTCCCGATTGATCTAATCCATTCCACATTACGTTTTTGTTGAAAGCCAAATGCTCAGATCTCTTATTAGGATACTCCACTGTGGAGGATAGAGCTTGTGGGTCGTCCAGTGACTCAATGAAGTCAAAGCTACGACAATGTCTTTTGTTAATGATCTCGGGTTTGTCAATCATTTTCAGGTCACATTGTGGAGAGTTGTGTAGAATGGGGTGATGAGTGATGAGATTAAGAGTGATGTCCCGATATAGAGTTGATGCCAGTATATTAGGAGGATGGGTCCGGGTCATTTTAAAGGACCTTTAGTGCCCTTCAGCCAGATTCATGATCAACACCAGCCTGGAACAAAGATAGATATACTTAAGTAAAAAATTCAGCAGACAATCAGTTGTAAGCTAAATAAAATTGGAAACTTCTGTACTTTACTTCCACATATGTAAGAAAAAATGTTTTGAATGACACTTTGTTTTCATATAAAAAATTAGGTATTTTATGTGTAAAAATTTTCAAAACTGTGAGACACTTTGGGACATTCAAAACAGAAACACGAAAATGCAGTCCCAAGTTTAAAAGTCTTGCATCTTTTAGTTGACATATTAAATACTAAAACATTTACTAAGGGGATTTTAGATATCTTATTTAGTAATTGAGGAAACTACCTAACAATTATAATTTCACAAAAAAAAAAGTTAAAATGTTAATAAATCAAACATAGAGTTAGGTATCATAAAATCCTTCTGTACATTTTGTGAAAATCCTGATTGGCAGGTGCTGCATTTAGGTGTGGTCCTTATGTCCCTATGGGGGGAAATACATTTAGAGAAAATTACTTTTGAATTTCCAATGCTCCTAATACCTGTATGGACACAAGTTCATTAAATGAAATATTAAACCCAAACTCATCAAAAATCAGAAGAGTTTTGCCTGTAGCTTATCACCTTAATGTAGTTAGTTTATTATTTTTTATTATTATTAGATTTTATTCATCCCTCGTGAGGGGTGGCCCTTCTTTCAATGATACAGACAAGAACAGTGGGCAACCCAAGCACAGACCCCAGGAACCCATCTCCAGATCTTGAGCTCGGTTTGGTCAGGACAACCTTAGTTGAAGGATTTTAACTATTGTGCATGTTTTGAGTTCATGGGGACCTGAAGAAAACCCACCCAGAGAACCATGCACCAAAAGACCCAGGAATCATCACAAACTTTTTGATGTGAAGCATGAATGCCAGCCACTGCTGTGTCTGTGTTTTGCTAAACTGTGTGATGAGGTGATTTTAAACATTTATTGCATATAGTCATATCAAACAGAAATAAATAGACTGATTAATTCATATTCCGTATTTAGAAATTGTGGTTGGCTGTAGCATTATTTCACACAATGTAGTTGATTTGTCCCAGCACACTGGACTGGGGTTCTAATCACAAAGGCTAATAAGCATTGGTAAAAGGATAGACTGTTTACATTTGGATTTAAGAGCAACACATTTTCATAAATTTCTTTTAAAACATTACGTGTTTTCCAACAGTTTAAGCTTGTTATAGTAGTAGAAGAATTCTTCCGGCAGCATGGATTTCCATGTGCCATTCTTGTTGGCACTTACCTATGGCTAACCCTGAGTGACCATCTGTTCATGTGGATGAGAAAGCACTGACCAGCCGTCTCACTGTCAGGTCTCACAATCTGAACATCATGCCTCTTCACAAAGCTTTTTATTGACCTGGTTTAGTAACACTACAGAAACTACACCTATAAACCACTGTCTTTAATAATTAATATGAGATGTTTATATATAACTGTACTTACTAGTAATGGCGTGGTCAAACACTAAACCAAAACTGTAGTTTTACTGTATTAGTAGCTAAAAGTGGATATTTGTTGTTTCAGGTTTGTTGTGGTTGAACCTGATTTGGACCTAGTAATTTCCTAATTACATACTGTATATAGCTAGTATATATAGTTTTATCACTGTTTAGTTTAAACTCATCTTGGGTTGATTTAGTTGGTTTTGTTGCAGTAAATGTGATATAATACCTAACAGACCCATACAACTGAAACTAAATTGAATAAAAAAATATTTGGGAAACATGAACATGGTTTTGATTTTTTTGTAAGATTGCCTATGTCCAACTCAAGTAACAAATAATTTTAAAAATAACTGCTTACATGCCATAAGAAATAGTGTTTTTCCTCAGCAGCTCTGTGCTGAATAATGACCTACACTTTTATAGCAAAAGCATTTAACCACATGCCACATACTGTCTCCATGACTACAGCACACAGAAAAGAAGGCACGAAGCAGTCGGAGCTGCAGAGGGCAAAATCTGTGCTTGCAAAAAATCGAACCGCAATCGGCACCTCAAATTTGTTAAATTTGCGAAAGACATCCCACTATTACTTACATAGCTAACTTTATTACGCTTGACCATTTTTCAAATGGCCTCTGGCCTGTTGCTGTTTGGTTAATTTTTGAATGCACAAAATGCACTATTACAATTACACAAGGTTTCCTAAATGTAGGTGTACTATAAGGTATCAAATACATGGCCACCCTTTATTTTGGTGATACAGCGCGGCCCATCATCCCTTAGCTGAGACTGACCTGATGCCTTTGAGGCGGGAATGACATCATGTTCCGAGGCATAACGACGCAGAGGAGAGGTTCAAACCAGGTCAAATCACACTGGTGAGAAGAAACAGGTACGAGTTTCAGAAAGTTTGGAGATAGAAGATTAGAGGGCCTTACCGAGTGAGTTGATCGGACGCGATGTTATGGCAGTAGCATCAGCAGCATAAGCTCGACTGAGTAGTAGCCTATCAAAGCAGGGCCACATCCTTCACTGCACCTGCCACGGAGAAAAATGCTCCTCATTGCGTTTCACATTTTGTTCCTCGTTTCAAGATGCGGCTATGGTGTAATGTGCACCTATTCGATAAGTGGAGGGAGATGGAGAGAAAAGAGGAGGTGTGTCTTGAGTCTGCGCCTCTGCCAGCGTCTCTGGGGGCGTGGTCGTGCGTGTTTATGTGCGGTACGCCGTGGAGGGGGTACTGAGGTTGGATGGAAGCAGCAATGCAGTCTGTGCGCTCATCTCCCATATAGAGACTTAAGGACAAGGGTTTATGCTGTTTCCGGTATTCATTCTGAGTGTTATCTGCTGTTGCATTTTGTGATCAGCGTTTTCCTGCATCCAGCCAGAATGGAGGTAGCCTACTGGAGGATTTTCTACAACATCCAAGAATGACATAATAACTGAGTTAGTGATATAGTTAAACAACCTGTAGTAACCTTAACTATAGACGATAGAGTCAGTTTACATCTGCTGAAAAAAGTAGACTATGAATATTCTTATGAAGCCAGAATGACCTCCATGACAAAGACAAGTCTGTCTCATACATTTAACAATTATGCAAATATGAATGTCAAGGCACACAAAGATATGCATATTGGACCATATGTCCCTTGCGAGTGAGAAGCAGTAATCCCAGAGTCTTTTTAACAGTACTACTCATTCAGGCCTTTTAATTTGTGATATGTTAGAAACAAGAACCTTTTAAACCTGTCCCAGAATATGAGACAGAGGTAGTAATACTTAATAAAAAATAAAAAAAAAAACTGCTCCTACTGCAACTACAACAATTTGAGTTTCTTTGAGCAAATTTAACATGCCATAGTGATGCAAGCCAATTAAATAAAGCTGGTAAAATCTACAGCCAGAAGATGAGTTAAATTAATTTCATAATTGTTTCTAGTTGTGACAGAAGCATGTCCTCTTTTTATTCTACAGTTGTGTCACCTGGCCTCAGTGACAACTGTGTGTTGTCTGAATTTATGATATAGAGACAGCTGGCTGTGAGCCCAGACCTGAGCATGCGACTATGGGAAAAATGCTTAAAGCAGCACTTTGAGTTCAGATAGAAATAACCATAGACTGAGTGTGCTGATATGGCTCGACCCTTAGCTCTATTACCAAGACCATTACAAAGCAGAGGAGACTTTTTACTGAACTGACTTCATTACAATGCTGATGAGTTTTTGGCCTCTAGATAGGATCTCAAATTCTGGTACTGTTGGTACTCAGCAGTCCTAGTATATGAGCAATTATATATGGCAGGTTACAGGTTACAGGTTTTACAACTGATTTAGTCCTGGATTGGTCCTAATTTGGTCCTGCTTTATAAAGCCCATTTTAGTCTTTAGTACAGGTATTCTTTTGATCCTGGTATTTCTGGTTTAATCTAGTTTTGCTGATAATTGAATCATATATTCTGGTGTTTGCCGTCAATAGTTCTCACTGACAATTTTCACATAAAAGATTCCCTGATCCCATATGTGCAAGAACACATAATGATTCATACATCCCAGAACAGTAGATCTGACATGGTGCTGTATGTAGATGTAAGTGTGTACATTTGTGACTCACCCCTTTCTCTCCTCAAGCACAGTGCTTTGGCGTCACTTCATGTCAGCTGTTGGGTTGCAGGCTGCACAAGTGTGTGTCAGCTGGCTGCTAGCAGGTGTCTGGGACACCTCACAGGCACTACCAAGGCAAAATCAATGGCTTTGTGTTGATTAAAGACTTCTCTGACAAGGATCAATCAGGCTCACCACACCACAGGATTACATCACCAGAACAACACTAAAATCTGCAACAGCCAGGCATGATTCCAGGCTGCTCAAATGTAGATGCCAGTGTTGTAAGGACCAGTAATAACTGAAGTATATTTCAGCTGTAAAAGAACCTCTTGTGCATTCTCACTTCTTACACCAAGTATTATTAATTTCTTGTTTGCTCTTCCTCATATGGATACTAACTCAATTCTCAGAACCATTGTTTTGTCCTTATAGCATAGTTGCCCCATGCAGAGTTATATCAAACAGATATATCGAAGAGTTATATCAAACAGACAAATCCTAATCAGAATTTACAGACTTTTGACTACTGCTATATATATATGTGTGTGTGTGTGTGTGTGTGTGTGTGTGTGTGTGTGTGTGTGTGTGTGTGTGTGTGTGTGTGTGTGTGTGTGTGTGTGTGTGTGTGTGTGTGTGTGTGTGTGTGTGTGTGTGTGTGTGTATATTTTTTTTAATTTATTTATTTATTTTTTTTTTCAACTTGACCAGACAATGTTCCTTCACTAAAGCAGTCTCTAAAGCAAGTCAATAAACTTTATGAAGTTTCTCTCATCTCGGCAAGCATTCCTTTTGATTTATGTGATATACGTGTTTCTGTTGGAACGAGTTACATAAGGGAAGTGAAAAGGGCACCCTGCCAGACCCAGGCACTCACA